CCTATGCATAGGATGGAATTTAGCCCTGCTTGTCTCTTTGACCGTTTCTCTGTTGTTAACTTCCTGGGAACAGTGTGTATCCATTTAGAAACGGCTTCTTCTCTGCTTCAGCAATGGTGATATTGTCAGCCTGAGTGTCGCTTTCTGAATCTCTGACTCCCACAAACATTTCCAACACCAAAGCCAAACAGGTGTTGGAACAGAAGGCCATTTAAATAGGAGTGTGAAGGCAAGGATGGAACTGCAGAGCAGCTTGCAGCAACACAGCCAAGTGGAGGATGGAGGAAAGGCACAGGATGGATGGGACCATGAAACTAATTATGCAGCCAGACAAAACCGTACATATTTTATGATACAAGATGAGATATTTTTTTCATTAACATAGAGGAAAAATTCTGCCTCAGCAAAAACCTGAGACCTTGTAATGCAGACTTACACTCCATGAATACTTTAGAGATGAAGCATTCACAGTTGTGCTTTGCAAATGCTGCCTTTCAGGCATTAACGTGGGGAGTGTTTTAAAAACCTTCAGTAGACGCAGTGTGCATAAACTCCATATCTTATAGGATCTCCTTGCTGCCTGTTGAGCTGTTTCTAATGATCCCCTCACTATCTGAGCTCTGGTTTTTCTTGAGTAGGGAACAGGAAATTTGAGTTTCAAATTGTTGCTTTTTCTGCTCATTACTGATCTGGGCAGGAAGAGTTTGCCTCCCTCTGATCCTGCAAAATGGGCAGATTTACTGACACCAATTCTCTGCTTCTGCAAAACTATTTTCTTGTCTTCCTAAAAAACATAAACTGTTGGCTGACTCCTCTAGTAGCTGTGTGGAAGCAGCGGCAGAAGGAGGGGTGTCTGCCTGTCCGTGTATCAGACTTACAGAGAGCCCATCGCTCTGGTATCTAGGCTCCAAATACATAAATTAAGCATCTGCAGCTATTAACACTGCTTCAGCAAGCATCAACAGTTTGCTGACGGGGTAAACACCACCAGGGCTGGCTGAAGCCAGGATGAAGACATTGACATTGCAGCAATAAGCTGCTAAGAAGTTGTTCAATAGTCTGTTTTTCCTGAGTGCGTGTGGGTGAATTTCTGAATGTGGAAAATTTTCAGAGGATGATGTTATACAATTGGAAAAACTAAGTTCTAGAATTTACTCTGCTAGTTTAATATCAGTGTGTTTGGCTCCACTCAGTGGAGATGACTCAGAATGCAAAGTGGCCTGGAAGGGCCTGTAGCAGCACTGAGGCACTTGAATGTCCATTCATTCTTTTAACAGCGTTGTCTGGAAAAATCGAGTATTCTGAACTCTGATGGCTCTTCCTAGTAGACTTCTGAAGGTTAGAAAAGCTGATCGGTATTTTCAACAACTTTTGACTGTCCCCACCAAGAATTGGTGCTTTGTGATCCTTTAAAAAACATAAAAATTGATGCTGCAGAATTCCCCTCAGGTCCTAAAATCTGTTCTTCCAGGAAACAATGTGCAGCAAGAGAGCATGATATTAATATGCTATAAATTACTTATGATTGTTTGTGTGTCTGCTGGTAGAAATTTCTGTTGACCTTCCAATATAGTAAGATTACAGGGATCACACTTGTGTACGAGAAAGCAAACAGCTGTGTAGTGACTTGTATTGAATGTGGCTTTTTAGTTTTCATTGTTCTGGAGGAAAAACCTGTGGATTAGAGGTAGTTGAAAAATTTGCAGTTTTTTTTTTCATGAAAATATTCATGAAACATTCATCCTGTTTTTTTAACCACCTCTTAAATATCGATAGCAAAGCAGCTTACTCCATTCTTAGGATTTGCTTTAAAGCAGCCTTCAATGACAGCATTCCATATTGTATGCAGTGTAGTTGTAGCTGGGTTGGTCCCAGGATATTAGAGACGAAAGATGGGTGAGGTAATATCTTTTATTGGACCAGCTTCTGTACTGTTACTTTGATCATCCAACATTTTGATTCAGAGCAACATATCGGATGCTATAGAAATTCCGAAACAAGCTGATGTAGAAGCTGATTACAGATGTGGAAGGCATAAAATCTGTGCAGTGCTATAGAACAAAGAAGCATCCTGAAGGAATGAGTTATAAAGTACAAGATAAATTTTCAGTTACAGGATTGCCAGGAAACCCTTTATTTTGGGAAGTAATCAGCATGTTAATGTTATTAAACAAATGATAAAATAAGGTGAATTTTAGGAACTCATAAGAAGCTTTATTTTGTTTTAATGCAATTTACATTTTCCAGACAATGGATGGATTTAAGAGGCTGATGTAAATAATCTCTTGTCTACACGCCCGAATTTTAATTTGATGTGTATTTGCTGATTGAGAGTTGGACATGAATAAAAACAATAGATATGATCACGTCCCCTCAATCCATGTGTGGAGGAGCCTTCTGAACATGGATCCCCAGGTTTCTCATTGTGGTGGTGACTCCTCAGCTGAGTCGTTTTTATAGAGGGAAGTAAAGAATAAAGAAAATTCCACCATAGAAGAAGGTTCTCAAGCTAAAATCTTTAGATTGTGGGGTCCCTTAGCAGAGTTGCTGTGCCATAAATTTAGCTTATACATATAGAAATATCACTATATTCAGCACAGGTTCCCAACAGTGGATTGGATGACCTTTATTTACATTTCAGTTTCTTTACATTGGGGGGAGGGATAGCTCAGTGGCTTGAGCATTGGCCTGCTAAACCCAGGGTTGAGAGTTCAATCCTTAAGGGGGCCATTTAGGGAACTGGGGTAAAAATCTGTCTGGGGATTGGTCCTGCTTTGAGCAGGGGGTTGGACTAGATGACCTCCTGAGGTCCCTTCCAACCCTGATAGTCTGTGATTCTATGATTAGAGTCATCTACATGGCATCTGCTTGAATATCTCTTGGCTCCGCTGTGCTGCTCCCCTAGCTCCTGCTAACCCTTGGAAACACAGCTCAGCCACATTTCCAAGGAGCTTGATGTGTTTGAGGAGGAAGGTGGAACATTTCACAGCTCTGGAACTCCCTACCTCAGAAGGGTGCTGGTTCCACTCTGCAGGAAGACATAGAAGACGTATCCCTTAGATATCATTTAAATACCAAAAGCCGCCCATGCAAATTAAGGGCTAGTGTCCCTGATCCAAACAAGCAGTTGCCGGTGTAACAAGGTCCAGTTTTATTAAGTGAATTTAATGCGTGCTTTGAAAGGTGCTATAGTGATAGATTACAGTCTGCTACTTATCCAGAGACTAGGTACACGCAGGCAGTGACTATACCAATGTGCCTCAGCCCTGAGCCAAAGAAAGTCCTGTTAGGGCTGAGAGGGCAACTTAATTTCCAAATCTAGTTAATCCTTGGCCTTTTTGCTAACACTGCTAGTTGTGATATGAATCCGGCCTTCTAGGAATTGAACTGATTCTACCAAACTCCTTTCAGATAAGCCCCAAAGAGTGGTCACGTGTTAGTGGGTGCTACCAAAGTGGGCTGGATATGAAGCAGTGCTCTGGAGAAGAGACGCCATAATTCATTTCCAAACCCTATGCTATCCACTTCCCCAATCAGGTGTTAAATTGACATGGTTGCGAGTGAGATGTTACATTTACATTTCAGCAGTGTTATTTAATCCTATGTAGAATTAATTTATATTCTTGAGTATGTATCTATGCATTGCACAATATACTTTAGCACGCATGAACACTTCGATCCCTAGTTACATATGTATAAACCAATCCTAGCGTGAGTCATTAAAAACTGCTGGCCAGTGTGGATAGCTAGTGATATGAGCCTCAGCTTTGGAACAGCTGGCTTCTCTGGCCACTCGAGTTCAGATCTAAGTAGTGTTAGCTCAGTCCTTGGTATTTCAGAGGTAGATTAGTTGAGGACCATACAGTTCCTTTATTAATGGATGTACTATGATTTAGCTGTATAATAAAAAAATACCTGTGATCACACGTGGAATCTTTTTTTGGATGCAACCTTATAATCTGAGATCCTGTGTGCTCTGTATTGACGCTGCAGATCCTGCAACAATTTTAATGGGTAATAGTTTGTCTTTCACCATAATTTTCCTCTCACTGTACTTTGTTATATCAGTTGACTGCCACCCTCCACCTAGCTGCATTTCACTAGTGCTGGCCCTCGGTAGAGCCTCACCTTGCAAACATTACTTAGTACTTACTGTCATGAGTAGTAACCCCACTATAGTCCATGTCCTTGCAGCACACTGCATAGATGTTAGTATGTTGAAGTCAATGAGACTATTCGTAGTAGTAATAGCTATGCCTGGTAGCAAGAGTTTGCAGGATAGGACTGATGCTCTGTGGTCCTTCAGGAGGAAAGGTGCCATCTAAATGTAAAATATTCTTCTTCTGATATATGGAATACAATTAGAGGTATTTCCACACCACAACCATGTACCAGAATACCATTAAAGTCCAGATCCAAACTTCATGGCTTGGATCCACCTCTATAATGGACTGAACCAAATCCCACATCAGAACGCTGCTGAAGTTTGGGAAATTTCCCAGATCCAATTCTGAATCCAAACTCGGCTGCTCTGGCCTAAATCTAGAGAAGATCTAACATTTGTGTCTCTGTGTGTGTAACTAGCTAGAATATTTACCTTTATATTTCAGAATTGAGGATTATTCCTCTTGCCTTCGAGTTCAGTGACAAATTGGAATTCCATTTCTTACTTTAACTTAAAATGCTTCCAGCGTGATAGCCGAAGAGAACTTTTGCAGGTGATTTATCTCCTTTATGTAGGACACAGTGCCATTTAGCTGGCATAGTTAGGGAATTAGGATAGTATTAAAAATGTCAGAAATGATAAAAGATTGTATGCTAATTGCCAATTACATGCACTGTCCTTGAAGATAACAAAGAATAGCACAGACACGTGACATATGAAGCTACACTGCTGTTTGTGGTGTGGTGAAATGTGCAGATAATAAATGCGCGGCAGCTGTGAGCATATTGTAAAGCCAGTGACCTTTTGATTTTTAATTCCCTCTTTTGTTTTACAGAAAGAGATGACAACCAGGATGTGTCACTAAAGAGCCACCCGTCGAACAGAAGAGAAATCCAGTTTCATCCTTATTGCAAAGCTAGAGGTCATGAGAGACCTCCTGGGCTGAACCTGCCTGTTAATTCCCACGGGTGGGAAAGTCAAGGACAGAAGGTTACTTTCACAGATGCTTCTCAACATTGTGTGTGCTCTTAACCCTGAAAATGCTGCTAGGAGCCTCCTCTGAATGATGTGGATTACCAAGTGAGAAAGAATTGTCTTGGAATTTTTTTCTGGTTCCTGAATTATTGAGGAGGAATTCTTCAGTCACAGTGACGTTCCATGTTCCTGCTGTTCAAGCTTTCCTGGAACTCAGGTTTTTAGGCTGGCCTGTATATTTGTAATTTTGAAATGAACCTGTGTTGTTAGTTGAAAAGATTTTGTATACTTTGATTTTGTGTACTTTGTTTTCCAAGTTCAGCACAATATTAAGAATTCTGGAACTTCAGCAAGATTTTCAGGTGGAGCCTTCCATGTCTGCATAGGACTTTAGACGCCAGCCAAGGTTTGTGGGTAAATATTCCAAAATGCCACTGAGCCTCAACGTCCATAGGAACACAGCTGCTTTCCCCAGCAGATCTGGCAGTGTGTACTTTGCTTGTTTTCTTGCTTCGGTTCTCAGTTAGGTGACGATGGGCCAGATTCTGATCTCGGCTCCATCAATGTAAACCCAGAGTAACGTCAGTGAGTTCAGTGGAGTCGCCCTGGAGTTACACCAGTGTGACTGACAGCACAGTCTGGCCCAGTATGTGTACAAAGAAGGGTGGTGGTAATTAGAGTTGAACGAAATGCCCTGTGTACCGGTGACCACAGAGGTTTGGTGCATGCATGTAATTTTAGCTCTGTCCGGTTTCTTTTTCTCCCCCACCTCATTCTTTTCAAGGTGAGGATATTCCGTTTGTGGGGGAAAAGGGGTTGTAAATTAACGAAGACTATTTGGGAGAAGGTGAGGTCAAAACCCTAATGCATGACTGCATTGCATGTAAATACTGTCTAATAAGACAGGCTGTCTTCCACACTACAAACATATAGGATAACAGTTCCCAGTATACAGTCTAATTTAAATCAGTGACCTCAACATCTGGCCTAAGGTATTCATCGTAAACTCATTAACTTATGTACAGTGTGCCTGGTGCCATGGTGATGGGCCCATTAGAAATATTTGTAATAGTATTTACTGAGAGAAGGTCTCTAGAGACACATTTTAACAAGTGGAAAATATACAGAATAGTCCCATATATTCCGTGCCTTCTAAGGAATTTGGCATGGACCTTTTGTTCAATAATAAAGATGATTCTTTCAGATCATGTGCTGATTCCTGCTGCCCCTAAGCATCTATTCCCACCAAAGTGATTTTAACAGTCTCTGCTTCTTCTGAGGTAGTATTGGAAGCAAACTTCATAGAGTATCCAGTGATGGAGTACTAGTGATGATATATGATAGTCTGAAATATAGCAGACACGAAAGAATAACAACAAACATCTGAGCTTATATTGTTGCACATAATGATAATGTCTTATTCCCCTGCTTGATTTAATAGGCTCTGCAGCAGAGGTGCAGAAGTCAATGATCACATATATGCGGGGACAAAGGGTTTGAGCTATGAAAATTCAGTGTTGCTAAGTTGGAAGTTTTTCCATATCTTTAGAATTATGCAAATAGCGTTAACCCTTGCCTTCAAGGAATGTTCAACTTTCAGTTTGTTACATTGAACTAAAGGACTCCTTCCTCTTTCATTGCTCTTTTGCAATCAAGCTACTTCTTGAATGCACTACAGGGACTATGTTACACATGATCTTCTTAACATTCATTTGGCTGGTGCTTACCCACTGCGTAATTGTGGAACTCATTGCCACAAGATATCACTGAGGCCAAGAGCTTAGTAGGATTGTTTTAAAAAATAGTTATCTGGTTAGAGAGAATATTAATAATTATCCATCACATGATTTCTTGTACCTTCCTTGGAAGCATCTAATTCTAGCCACCGTCACAGACAGAACTGCTGGTCTGGTGTGGCATATCCTGTATTGCTAATTTCTAGCATTTCGAAGGGTTAAGACAAATGGCGGTTCACTACCAATATTTCCACAGCTTTGCCATATGCAATGAAAGTTTATATAAAGAAGATGTGAATCTGTGGAATCTTTAGGCAGAAAATCAAACCGTGACTAGATAAAATTGAAAAGCCTAATATTTTATCTACAAAGTCATTTTTATTCTACCTTTCACTAAAGCCACTTACTATATACTGTCTGGGTCTAATTAACATAGTGCAATTCTAAAATGTGCAGGAATTTGTTCCCTGTTGTTTTGATTAACTTTTTTGTGATAGTGATAATTTCACCGAATTTGAAAAACTGTTTTTTAATGGTTTTTTTGTTTTTAAATTAGGTCCCAGTTCAGTTTAATAACTATTGTGCTCTCCCTAATGGCTGTTATAGATTCTGCAGCAGAGAGAGACCCCAGAGACATCCTGGCTGTCTCAGCCAGAATTCCTATTGGGTGGCACTAGGAGAGTCCATTGCAAAACAGGAGCGGCACCAGCCATTGAAAGGTGTAGTGTGCGCTTGCTGCCTACACTGGCCCATGCAGAAAAGGGATGCAGACATAGACCCACACTTGGCCCATTCTGTTTGGGCACTGTCCTGCTGCTGCTAATACTAGTCTTATCCTTGTGCTGAGGGAACACCAGGACCGGATCGTGCCTGACCCCCGTACAGGAGGTAAGGAACGGCTCTTTGAGTTCCCTCCTCTTTGTTCTCATGCGCAAGGCTAAGCACATTTTGGCCCAACGCGCAATTATGAAATGGGCATCTCACAGCAGCCCAAGTAAGTTGATTATTACAAAAAAATCCATGCAAACCTTCATCCCTAAAGCTAACAATGCTAGGAAATAATGAAATGTATGTTATTGCACAACCATTTTGGATGTACCTGTCATTTCTGGGGTTTGACTTGGCAGATTATTTCCCAACAAGAGTCCGCTATATCTTTCTGCAGATCGTATAAGTGTTTAATTCAGCACTGGCCTGGGTGCCTCAAACAATGTGGCATGGCTCATTTTCCTCCCTCCCCATCTCTGTGACGTTTAACAGCCCAACAATAGCAAAGGGTGGAATGTGGAGTATCGTCAGACTTACGAGTTTTAAATTAATCCCTGCATTAGAGAGCAGAGTCCGGGTGCTGTAAACATTAGTCCAGGAGATTCTAATTTCACCCTTGATAATCCACCTAGCGTCAGAGATAAATATAATCTTATTTCAGTTGTTAATCACAGGCCCTGTTTTACACAGACTCATCGGCATACTTAACAAGAGAGTAGCTAAAACTTCAGTGGATGTACATCTAACTAATCCACTTAACCTAAGAGGGGAAGTCCACCCACTAGACTTCACTGATAGGCAGAATTCTTAACTGTCTTCTGGGCTCAACTTCAAATATGTATGCTTCTGTTCTTTTGCCATTAACTCCCTAAATACTTCAACCAGGTTTCAGCCGTTGTGTCTTCTGTTTCTTGCCTTCTAAAAAAAGGATTAACCTTCATTCCAGTGCTTACCTGATCTTAATGCTAAAGATAACAGTTTCAGGGGAATCCAACAAGAGAAACCTGCTTTGGTTGATCAAGAGTATTGCTAGCTTTATGCCAGGATTTGGGATGCTGCTGTGTGACCAAAACACCGCAAAACACACAGCGATGAGGAATTTTGGGAAGGACTTTTCTTTTGGGTGTAATACATGCACTACTCTTTGGCACATATAATGACAATGGGGCCAAATGCTAACGTCCTCCCTTGGTTCTTACTCCGGGAAAAGTCCCATTGACCTTCAGTGGGAGTTTTGCCTTAGTGACAGCTAAGAGCCAAATCATGTGCTCCCATGGGAAGGCTAAGAAACTGCACATGGGAAACTGAGTTTCCTTCCAAGTTATCCCCCGGTAGGCAGCAAGCCTTGCACAATGTGGGATGTGCGGCTCTCCTGACCCGAGAATACCTCAAGATCTGTGGGGTAAGCCCACGGGGATTTACAAAGAGCTAGTATATTCATGCAACGGCCCGGTGCCCACATATTGTCATGATTATCCTATATGGGGAAATTCCTCTGGGTTTGGAGGTTTCTGCTGCCATAGATTTCTTCCCCAGCGCCACCGAGCTATGCCTCCTCAAACCAAACTGCCTCCATTCCTGCCCTTTGACAACATTTAGCTCCAAGAGCTTGGGTTTTGTTCCTTTCGTTCGCTCTATAAAGGAAAAGAAGGTGAGAGCTGTGAGTAAGAACTACAGAATTGGATCAAATGTGCATAAAATAGGAATATGTCTGCTGCCAAGTGCAGTGCTTTAGGAATGGGTTTATGCTGCAGGTATCACACAACACTAGCAAGCTGTCAGTAATGGGGCAGTGCGTATATCAGAAGGAAGAATGGGATTTTCCTACTGGTTCCAAAGGCAAAATAAACCAAGAGTGGCCTCTGAATCGCTAATGATAACCTTGTAGTTTTGTTAATGTAAATTTAGTGTGATCCAATTTATCTTTGTGTTTCTTCATGAGAGAGAGAGAGGCAGGCAATGCTATTTGGAAGTTAGCCAAACAAAGTTGGAGCTTTGAAATGGGGCGATTGTTTCTTTTCTGTGTAACAGATTTTCCTGTTTTTAAATGGATATATTATAATAAAGTTTTATAACAGAATATTCTCCCTGGGAAGAAATGAATTAGTTATCTGAGCTTGTGTGCGTGCCTGTGTGCGCATTTGTGGTTTTTCCCCCCCACTAAATAGATACAGAGGCTTTTTTGTTTCATAGTTTTTAGGGGAAATGCTTTTTTCTAACAAATGATTTGAATATACTGTTCCTTTTTGCCTTCCATGCACCAGAGCTGTTCAATATGTTAATTTTTTTAGCAATGTCCAAGAAATTTTTAGACTATTTTAGTTCTGTTTGTGATTAAATGAAGGGTTCAGCTGTATGAAAAGCGAGACCGACACTAACTGTTGAAGTCATATAACAAAAAACAGGATAAAATGGAAGACTACTTGTCAAATCAATCCTAGTTTGTGAACCTGAGGAATTCAAACATCACAAATAAAAGATGCATAACCCTGCTTACGTGGCCTATAGTTGTTTTGTATGTAACTCTTTTGGGCAATAAATGCACGCATCATTTTCATACTGCAAGATACAATCCGTCAGGATCACAGGAATGAGAGATGGAAAAGACCTGTTAGATTACTGTCAGTCCCGCTGCATATAGGCCCCTGAGAACTGACCCAACACTTGCGACAATGGGTTGGATTCTTCTCCCACTGAAAGCAATAGCCAGCCTCTCATTGACTGCAGTGGGGGCTGAACAGTAGCCCTTACTTAAGCAAGTAGTCCTACAGGATTATGGCTTGTATTGTCACTTTGTGATCTGCCCCAGTGGAAGGGGCCCAGATCCTCAAACGTAGTTAGGTACTTAATTCCCATTGATTTCAATGGGAG